ATGAATATTGATCACTGCTGCTGCCTCCCGGATTCGAAAGGATAAGCGAGCTTTGAGACTGCTTGACTAAATCTTAGACTTAACCGGAACTTGCAAAATAAATCATTGACATACATACTGACATTGAGCAAGGAAACAATTTCACGGTTACTTGTATTTTGAAGCAAACATGGTCTAATGGGATTGTGCACTTCGGTTACTTCGTTACATGCCTACCTGAACCCAGTTGATGAGATTCGTAGCAGGAATTGTGAAAGTTGTGATATAGTGGATGAGAGTTATTGTCGAGGGTTTTCTGCCTTCGGATACTGTCATGAAATTGCTATGATTGCCTCAGCAAGTCTGAAAAATGGACTCCTGATGAATGGGTATAGAATGATCGAATTTATGTAAAATCGGTTTTGTTACATCATGCAGTCACATTGGGGAGTTTAGCTAAGTTGCATTCGTATTCCTAATTTTAGTAATGTAGTGTTTAACTTCCATATGTACGGTGGTTCGAAAGCGTTTGGGTGAAGTAACGATTAACCTTTGAGATACTGAAGTAAAGATCCCTCAACCAAGGAAGTCCCACATTGAGTTGTTATATTAACATATTCGATAAATGAGCCAATATTTGTGCAAACCTTTTGATGTTGCATGTCATAATCATTTTGGATACGGTACTCTGAACATCCTAACTTGCCTCAGATTAATGATGTCCAACATACAGAAAATGACTCCTCAAATTCTGCGGACATTGACTGCTCTGATAAGTGATATATCCCATAGGCGCTAGCCGACATTATGTAAACATGGAAATGCTCAGGATCTAGGCAAGAAATGACAGGTGTTATGTATGTAGCGGTTAACATCAACAGTGCGCTATTACCTTCGATTGCAGTAAGGCAGCTGCAGAGTTCCATGACGTGCTGATCTTCCGCAATTCGATTAAGCTTTCCTGATTGAATTCTAAGTCTCGACAATGCCACAGTGTTAAATATATTAAAGCTATTGACGGTTGGTTTTCCTTTATCGTTTGCCAGCTGATTTGTGAAGAGAGGCCGCATTTTGAGAGTCTCTTCTCTAATCCTATTTGCATATCACCCGGTTGCTTCTCCAGGGTCAATCGTTCTATGAAACTACGATACCGGATATCTCAAACGCCACAAAAAAGTCAACCTTTAGATGCAATAGTTTGTTAACTGCTTTCTCGTTACTAATTTGTTGACTGAAATCCTCTCTGTGGTCTAACGTTAGCATAACTTCAGTCCCGTTTTCTTTAAGCTTACGTAAAAAACTTGTTGGTTTACAAAATACTTGGTCGTTTGACGGCTTCTTTTCAATTATGAAGTAAAACAAAACGGGGGCACAAGCTCTAGTCTTGAATAGCAAATTTTTTGAAAAGTTCAGTTTCGGAGCGACATTTGTTTCGCTTGCAAACGCCAAGTGTTGAAGGCGTGTTTTGAGAATCGTCCAGTTCTTCGAGTACGTCGTTAACGACCTGTCTCCCCGGTGCTCTCTTTCTCGAAGTGTTCCAACTGTGCGTTAATTAGGAACTCGAATCGTCAAAGCGGCTTTTCTACTGACTCGTTAATTAACGCCCCGTTCTCTCACACGTCAACCGTTAGTTAATTACGACCAACCGTTGTGTGTTGGTCAGAAATTCAGTGCTGAACGCAGCATCTTTAGTAGATTGCATCGACGAGCAGAGGCTGTACGAAATACCAGTTTTGACCACTGTTCAAACCGCTAGCTTTTTCTGATTTTCCCGACTTTCGACCCAATAATGGCCTGAATTACGCATTTAAGTCGATCAGTGGCAAACAGCGGCGTTCCAAGGACGCTGGAAACATATTTCTTACGGTAATTGCAAAAATCAGCAGACAAAGCGCTACAGTAACTTTTACGATTTCGTCCTCTCGTACTACTCCTTTCTAGAGCAATGATATGCTCATTGGACCTTCCACGTCAACACCTCTTTATATGCTATTTGCATAGTGTAAGGGGACCTGCGTATCTCAGTGTTCAGGAAAACATTGCTAGCGGGATCATAGAAATTTATATGACAGTTAGAGAGTGGAGTCTGACGAACATCGCCGACCCTCCTTGTGCGCGCAGGGTCGAATTATCGCTTAAACAGAGAAACCTGTACCAATATCGAAAGAGAACACTAGTTGCAGGGTGATGGCACAGCGGCAAGAGGTGGCGTAGATCTATGGAAGTGCTGGTTTTCAATCCGGGACCAAATCATCTTAATCGCTAATTCGTTTGTTGACGAAATTCAAAGTTGTTTACAAGCAATCAGTCTGGAATCAATTCAGAGAATGATAAAGCAAATTTGTTTGCTAGCAGGAAGATTTTATCACATTTTTGAGTGAATACTTCTGTCTAAGACTCGAACCTCGTTTACGTGTATAACTCACATTATGTCGCGATCGTTCTTAAGTGACCAGTCTTGGATTTTAAATTGCTATTGGTCTGACGTCTGACCTTCGGTCAATCTTGCCACGGTTAACCTTATCAGTTTCTGACCCCTGAAATGACCCGTGCATCCTCAGCGTTTCTGTTTCTAAAGAAGCTTTTCCTCTTTGAGGTGGCATAGAACTATGGAATTTTGTACAAAAAGCATGTAAATTGAGTCGAGATGACCAGACAGAGAGGAAACTGATATTCTTTCCTTATTTGAATTGCTTTTTGTACCATCTGAAGATAATCCGTCATATTAAATCCATCTCAATTGCTGCTTGTTTTTTCGGCTGTGCGAAAATCAGCTTTAGTGAAGTCTGTTCCTCAGTACCTGCGCAAAGGTCTTTTAGATGAATGGCAGCAAACCGATTGGTTTGAGGTTCTTAGAATTCTCCACATCTACTTTTCTGTGGAATAGAATCACCTATACGGTAGCCCAATCGTCTGGAATTTTCAGTTCCTTTCGAAACAAGGAAAAACGTGCGTGAAAACAAGCATGTTAATATTTTTGGGCAATGATTCACCTTCTCATTTTACTCACGAGTTCAACTGTAATCCCATCGTTTCTAGGAGCCGATATTGCTTTGACTGGTTCATTGCATGTGATACTCCTTCTGACAAAATATCTGAAATTTTGTTAGACTCATTTATATCTTTAATATCCTCAAGAGTATTGCTGTCTTAATCTATGTGCAGTTTTCTATAGAAATCCATCCCTCTTTTAAAAATAATCTCTTGTCTATCCTTGATGGCAGTCCTGTTTCTTCTGCTTTGAAACCGACATTAAATTTTTTGTTTCCGAACCGACATTAAATTCGTGATGATTTTCAAGGCTTTAATTACCGATCTGTTGTTGAATATTCAGATGTCTTACATTAATGGATTCTTAATGTTTTGCAAAGTATTTGATCTTCAATTTCTGAGCTACCGTTTTCTTAAGCTATCTTCGGTTCCTGCTGATTTTTGTGTCGACCTTCATGATATTTGTTAAAGAGATATTTTCTGTCGTTTCTGTGACTTCCTTCTTTATAACCCGATATACCAAATTTATGTCTGCTGTATTTCCTTTCCTTCATTTTCTTCCATGAAGTACGTCGAATTGATTATTTAACTTGGGTTAAAAATGAGGAGGTCCTTCCTTAGTGTATCTCGCGTTTAGTTCTCATTAATTTTTTTCTTTCATAAATTGAGTTGCTGAGCACTGCATCTGACGAGCCTGTAATCACACTCCGCATTAAACCTTTTCAGCATCTCGATTTCCTGCACTGCATTCTTCACGTTACTAAGGAAGAAGGGAAGGAGAGTTTGTTACTGTTGCAATATCGGTCCTCCTTTAGTTAAATGATTGAGCCATTTTGAACAATTCTTTTCATGAAATTGGTAGTGTGGTACTGATTTCGGTTTTTATGCTATCAGCCAGGAGTGCCTTGTTTTACAAACACAGGGCTTACGGTCATGTGACAAGCGTAGTGCGTAGTCTCCGTTTTCTTACCACACAGTGGTACTCATTTGTCAACCTCAGAAAGAGGAAGGGCGAGTATCCCTGGCCGAGGCTCGAACCGAACTCAGGATCAGTTGGTTCTGAGTTCGATGTTCATCGACTGAAAACCCCCGATCTGAAGCAATGTGTGGTAAATTCATG